TTAGAGATACTTGTCTATTGGAGGATTATTGTATTAGAGATACTTGTCTATTGGAGGATTATTGTATTAGAGATACTTGTCTATTGGAGGATTATTGTATTAGAGATACTTGTCTATTGAATGATTATTGTATTAGAGATACTTGTCTATTGAATGATTATTGTATTAGAGATACTTGTCTATTGGAGGATTATTGTATTAGTCACACTATTACTATGTTCGAGTACTTTTAATGTACAAAACGAAATTTCAGCTTGGCCTACTATCCGGGATAGAATGGTGTTAGTACACGAGTTATTTTACTTGTAAAACGTACAGCTTTATAAAGATATTACTGCATTAACAATAACGTCAGACTTGAACCGTTTAGAAATCTAGAAATATGATAACTTCGTCCAATTTGTTCAATCGTTCTAGAAATCATACGTGTATAAATAACAAGGATTAGCTTTCCTTTATATGATTTGTTTGGTACAGTACTTAATAACCTTACAATGAAAGGCTCGTCAATATTAGTTTTTGCGTCAGTATAGTTGAGGTTAACGTAAACACAGGGCAGTATACATTCACAACACTAGACAACTTTACACACATGTGCACTTTGAAACATAGAGTTACAACACTATAAATCATTTCTCATGAATGTTGAAAATATTGAAGGAAAGTTTCAACTTCTATATATATCTCTATCTTTACATGTATTTATGTATATATATATATATGTTCCTGCGTATATATAATGTAAACGTAAACATTATCTAAGCAGTTACATTAATATTTACATCAAAAAGGATAGACTTCGTTACAAACAGCAAGGCCAGACCTACGATAAAATTTTACATACATTGCGAACCGTGGTGTCTGTCCGCGCGTTCGTCTGTCTCCAGTTTGAAAAGCTGCGTCCGCAGGCAAAGCTCACCATTCACTTTCGAAATGACGGGAGAACAGGCATGAATAATGTTGATGCCAAATTTTATTTTTCGCAAGCAGGATTTTCTGTTTACTTATGTCAAGTCTCTGTATGAATTTTAACCAATTCAATCCAATTGCTAATTTACCTCGAATTACGGCTTTAAGACTGTGAGCATCGGTTTCAAGTATTTTAGAATCATCGCCAGTAACGAAATGATTACTGACAAACCTCAAGTAAATACGCTACAAAACTTTCATGTAAATAAACGTTGAACACTTACCTGCTCTTACAAAATCAAGTTGAGTTAAATTTCAGGAGAAAAATAACGATTCATCAACTGTGGATACAGTGTAATGTCGTTCAAAATCTCAGTTTTTTATACCTATGACACCTTCATATAGAAAACAGACCAGTGGAATCTCCCTTCACATTATATAAGCACGCTATTCACCTAAACACAATCACGTACCAAGTCTTGCGAGACGCAATCTTACACTGTAATGTAGACGAAGACACTATCTTATCAGTGTGGCAAATACATATAGATACACATTACTGTGAGAGAATATTAAAGGTCATAAGTACAAGAAAAAGTATTTCAACTATTTTACTCAATTTGTACCAGTTATACATGCTCTGTACTCATCTAGTTAGAAACTATCATACTATATGTGTTTATTTCTTTTAATACTACCGTAAGTGCTTTGGAAATATCACCTCGTGTGTCTCAGCTTTGCCACCACTGTATACCTTGGACTTACCTGTTTAGTTTTAATAAAGAGTCAACGTACACTACGTCATTTGTATAGCAAAATATTCTGCAATTTCTTCAGCGTAACATCTCTTCACTGGATAGTCAGGGATTGATATTCACCAGGTATAATGTTGTGGTGTATGTAGAAATTTACTAGGGATAATATCATTCTATACATAAATGTATATATTGAACATTTAGAATGTCTTTGTATATATATATACTTACATAGAAATTCACCATGTAGAAGTTGTAGTATGTATAGACATTTATTGTGTAGAATTTCGTGATATATATACAGAAATTTACCTGTGTAATGTCGTGGTATATATACAGAAATTTACCTGTATAATATCGTGATATGTATTTATATATGGAAATTTACCTATATAATGTTGAGGTACATGTAAATTTAGAAATCTGACATATTTAATGTCATGGTATATGTAAAAACTCACCACGTAGAATGTCGTGCTATATATATATATGTGTGTGTGTGTATGTGTATGCATATAAATAACTTTATTGAGTCATTGAGTTAAATGTTTCTTGAAATGCATGAAAAAGTTAAAAAAGATGTAAGAGATGAACGAGCAACACCACGACATATAAATGAAACGATGGCTATATATTGATACGGAATCAAGTTATGTTTAACTCCTTATTACGTGTACATCTATGGCGCTTGTGTCTCCGTGAGACGCTCCCTCATAATACAGGATTTTTTGTTTTGTTTGTTTGTTTTAAAGCACAAAGCTACACAACGGACGATCTGTGCGCTGTCCACAACGAGTATCGAAACCCAATTTTTAGCAGTGCGAGGACGCAGATTTACCACTGAGCCACTGGGGGAGGAGGGGCAATAAACAGGAGATGGTGAAATTTTTTATATTTAAGTTTGCATGGGCAAGTATGTCCTGTTAACGCTTGCTTTACGTGATTCTGTCAGTAAGAACAATCTAAAACAAACTTACAAAGATGTATTAAGTTTTGGCTTCTATTAATTAACACAGATATCGTAAGTTTGGTGGCCTTGATTGTTGTTATTTGTTATCAAGTACAATGCTACACAAAGGGATATTTGTGCCCTGCCCGTTACAGGTATCGAAACCCTGTTTCTAGCAGTGTAAGTCCATAGACATACCGCTGTGCATAAGGTGTGTTTGTTTGAAGTTAAGCACAAAGTTATACAATAAGCTACCTGTGCTCTGCCCACCACGGGTATCGAAACCTGGTTTCTAGCGTTGTAAGTCAGCAGACATACCACTGTTCCACTGGGGGGGGGTGACCTTGATACCCCTAACCTTTTTTTTGTTTGTTTGTTTTTTGCTTTGTTTGTGCACACAACTTAAAACATGAAGAAAATATTTCTATGTATGTTTCTCTGAAGCTACTTAAACCCTTTCTAACTGGTATATATTTGTTATTCGACCTTGACAAAACTAAATAAAACAAACAGAGGATTGATTTCTGATATATTAAAGATTCTTTAGAACCTACAAGGGGGAGATTCCTTTTAAATTTTACCTTAAATTATCTGGGAAACAATAGGATGACAGTCCGTGGGTCCAGACCATAATTAATATTATGTGATCATACCGAAGAGTTTTTTTGTGTTTCTTTCATGTTTCAGAGCTTTTGACATCTCTTTTACCGGTAGATGAAAATTCGTAAAGATATATACCAATGAGGCCATTTTAATCCCAACTTCAATTTGAGCTGTTGTTAAGTGTCAGCATTTACCTCATTGCAAACTCAACTAATATTTAAATATGGACAGACATTCTCTCTGATGAAATCAACGTAGCCTCAGTTAAATGTTCCTCCAGCAACCAGTGGGAGCAGCTATGGACAGACGAGTCCCCGAGGCGTCACAAGTTTAAACCTTGGCAAGTTGTTGTATACACATAAGCTTTTCTGCTCAAATGAACTTATGCATGTTAAGTTCCTATTCTCTCTTGGCTTTTATATGGCAAGATCGGGTCATTATGGGATGAGATTTGGTTGAATTTGAGAAGTGTCCATGTGTTGCCCCAACCTGAATGTGTCACATACTCACAGTATCTGTTGAGGAGTTGCTGGTGGAAGTATGAGGCCTGAAGCGGTGATATTTCGATCCGAAAAGGCCAAGCATTTTACATGATACTGTTGTTACCATAACATAAAAACTTGCAAAATTTTCATCTTATCTTTCTAACAAACTCCAAACAATTTAGCAAGAAATAAAGCACAAACAATGAAGTTGCTCGAAAGATAAAATAATACATAAGAACGTAAGTACAAAACTTGACAAAAGATGGCGCCAAAACAAACATAAAAATGCTACCCTTTATCTTTTTTTTAATTGAATTAAAACCTAAGTAACCACCAAGTTATTTAACTCTCATTAAATAACGGTAATTCAGAGGCACTATTTACTATATTTAATTCCGATTTCAACTTACTTATTAGTGTTATTGTGTTTTTTTTTTCATATCACTAGATCTTTAAATTTGTTTGTTCCGGAGGTAAATCACAGTCTTTTAATGCATGTAATTTTATATTTGAAGTATTTTGCGATCTCAGATTTGAAAGCTCCCTCTTTCTGACCTTTTAAAGTTCTTACCGTAGATAAAACATACCAAGCATTACTTCTAGGATATGAATACAAATATACAAGTTTAGAGTTCTGTAATTTTGGACTATTATTTTCAAATAAAAAAAACGTCTTTAATCCTGTATACTGGTTTGTAACTGAAGTTGTGAATGAATTCTATGACCTAAAGTCTTTAATTGTGTCTTAACTCTAAATGATTGTACACCTAAGTATGGTAAGGATAAACGTTCTTTATAAACCATCGTTTTCACATATGAAGAAACTTGTTTTTTATTCATATATTCTATAATATCTTTATCAATGATTTTTAGATGGGAGGCTCTGTTTTTTCTGTCAATGAG